TACATCACACATGCCGCCTCTCTGTGTGTGTGTGTGTGTGTGTGTGTGTGTGTGTGTGCGCGCAAGTGTGTGTGTGTGTGCAGTTCTCAGAGCGGTGTGGTCAACATCTACTCTCAGTCAGACTGTCTGCAGCTGGCAGAACCCAAACCGCTGAAGGCCGTGATGAACCTGCTGACGTCGGCCACCAGCCTGAGCTTCAACAGCACGTCTGAGATCCTGGCCATCGGCTCCCGAGCAGACGACGAGGCCTGCAGACTGGTACAGTAGAGGATCAGTAATGTAGATGATGCACTCCTGCAGGGCTGTGGAGATGTGATATAGTGTGTGAGGGTGTGCAGCCTGTGTACAGTGATCTCTCTGTAATGATGATGTGTTCTAATGTCCTGCAGTGTGTGTGTGTGTGTGTGTGTGTGTGTGTGTGTGTGTGTGTGTGTGTGTGTGTGTGTGTGTGTGTGTGTGTGTGTGTGTGTGTGTGTGTGTGTGTGGTGTGTGCGTGCGTGCGTGCGTGCGTGCGTGCGTGCGTGCGTGCGTGCGTGTGTGTGTGTGTGATGATCATGTTTTGATGGTTCAGTAGTGAGATCATCCACTATTGACAGCAGTAAATTACAGTAGTGACGTCCTCTACATTACTCTCATGTACACCCGCTGCTGGTCGGCATCTCTCTCCCGCACACACTGAAACTACACGCTTATCAGAAGTTAAACAGCAGCAGCGCGTCCACACCACCGCATTAGTGTGGCGTCTCTCATCAACTTCCTCTGCATTCTCACCGGTGCAGTGTTGCTCCTCCATATCTGTGTTCAGGACTCTTATTTTGTAGCCAAATTTCCCGAGCCGGAGCTCCAACACCTGCAGAGCACCAGCAGCGTGTCTGAGATGAACAGCTGAGCACTGAATTCACTGACACGCGTGATGAAAACACAAATATATGTGCAAATATCAGTAATGGGTTTATAAATCATATCAGCGTTATTGAAAAATAATCTACCACCATATATATTAATATTGACTTATTGCCCAGCCCAACTCTGACTAGAGGATTTAATTCTGTCTGTCTGTCTGTGTGTGTGTGTGTGTGTGTGTGTGTGTGTGTGTGTGTGTGTGTGTGTGTGAGTGTGTGTGTGTGTGTGCGTACAGAGGACGGTGAGGTGTTCGTCTGGGATGTGCAGAGCAGTCGGTGTGTGAAGAAGTTCACAGATGAAGGCTGTGTCAGAGCAACGTCCCTGTGTGTGTCCAGAGATGGACGATATCTGGCCTGCGGGTGAGTGAGTGATTGTCCGAGGGTGCGTGTGTGTGTGTGTGTGTGTGTGTGTGTGTGTGTGTGTGTGTGTGTGTGTGTGTGTGTGTGTGTGTGTGTGTGTGTGTGTGTGTGTGTGTGTGTGTGTGTGTGTGTGTGTGTGTTCATCTGCCTGGTCTTCATGAGGCCTTTATTTGGGTTGGTGAATGTGCAGAACCCTGCTGTTCCAGAACACTGAGCTCTGGGTCTGCTTCTGGATGATGATCCGCTGTCATTGTTATGGAAGTGTGTGTGTGTGTGTGTGTGTGTGTGTGTGTGTGTGTGTGTGTGTGTGTGTGTGCTGTTATTAGCCTCTTTCTCCCCTCGCGTCATGAAATGAGAAACAGCACACAAACTTCAATCTCACACTCACTGCAGGCGGAGGATTTATCGCAAATCCTCTTGGGGCGACTGGAGGCGTCATCTTTACGTATGAGACGAACACACACACACACTTGCGCGCACACACACACACACACAGAGATCTTCAGCCTGACCTTCACTCGTGTCCTGCCTCTGACCTCTGCATAACACGGGCTCACTCACATCATGTTGTTGACAAAGAAAGCAGCGGTTGCGTCTCAAATGACACACTCTGCACTTACACACTCAATTATGCAGAGTTTATACTAATGACAC